TACTGAAAAACAAAGATTAAAAATCTAGTGTAGAGGTTAGACTCTTTGAAATACAATATTTAAAAACAAAAACACAAAAAAAATTTAGAACTGTATATGAAGTTCGGTTTAAAAATAGGGTTTCTCTCTCTCTCTCTTTTTTTTTTTTGGCAAGGTTATAGTGAAATGAAAATGAAAATTAAGGAATAGTAGAGGAGTATTAGAGGACTTTAAAAGGAAATAGGAGAGAAAAACAAGAAAAAGAAAAAAAAATTTTTTTCCCTAATTAAAAAAATCGTAAAAATATATGAAAATGAAAGTTGAGGAGTAATGGAGTAATAGGGAATTTTAAAAGAAAATAAAAGAGAAAAAAAAAAAGGAAAAAAAAATTTTTTTTTAAATTAAAAAAAATATATACATATATATCTAGGAATTTCTCTGGAGTTGTTGCGGTCAGCGTAGGTTCAGTTCAATTTCAGATAGCTCCTCTTTCCAGCTTACACTTCTCGATATCTGTAGGCCCCTTCCGGTGTAGTCGGTGTTACCTTCAGGGATTTTAATCTGTTGCACCGGTCCTTTCTGAAGCGGTTCCCTTTGTTTATTTGGCTTCTGTTTGCCGTCTCTTCGGTGCCTAATTTCCGCCCTGACACAGGCGGGCGGAGGTGATCTCTTATTTAGGTTCTCTAGCTCAGTTCAGTCCTGCTACGGGGAGGGCGGGGCGCTGCAGACAGATACCGCTCTGTGTGGCCAGCACTCACCGTGTTCCGGTCACACTGGGTTTGCCCCGCTTACGGGTGTCAGTGCTTTCCCGGTCTACACTGCTCAGGCTCCCGGCTGCTCTATATGGAGCGGGCCCTGCGTTGAGTGCGGTTCCAGTTTTCGGGTACTCCACAAAAGTGCGGATTCGGTTGCACCTGCGTTTTGTGCCTTCCCTGGCCTGAGCGGTTCAGGCAGCCAGAGGCTTGGGCTCACTCTCCCCGAATGCGGCGCGCCTTTTCCCTCCGCGTTGAGCGGCCCAGGCAGCCAGAGGCTTGGGCGCACTCTGCCCAGGTGCAGCGCGCCTTTTCCCTCCGCGGCCAGCGGCTCAGGCAGCCAGAGGCTTGGGCGCACTCTCCCCGGGTACGGCGCGCTTTTTCCCTCTGCGGCCCCAGCGCGCGCCGCCAGTCGGGTCTCAGGAAGTCTTTAGATAGGAACCGGGGGCCTGTTTGCAGTGTGGCTTCTCAGGGGCTGAGTTTGCCATTTTCCCCTCCCCCCTGCCTCCTACCTCCAGCAGGGATGGGCCGGCTCTTCTCTGGAGTTTCTCAGTCCCTTTGTTTTGCGAACCGCCGGCAGTGTGTTCGGGCCAGTTAATTTTGACCCTTGCTATCCCACAGTTTAAAAAAGCTCCCTCCGATTGCTCTCAGGATCTTTGGGCCGGTCTTTACCCTAAGCAATGCCGCCCGCTCCTCTCCGTTCCGCCCCCGCTTGTTGCTGGCGGGTACGGGCGTCTGGGGTACTTTTCTGCTGGGAGTTGCTTTTAGGCACGTAATCTGTGGGCCTTGTTTAATTTTTCCTCCCAGTTAGATTGCCGAAAACTTCCCCTAGTCCCGCCAGTGCGAGGGTTTCTTGGTGATTGGAAACTTCCTCTATTAAGACTCCCTTCCCGGGACGGGTCTCCATCCGTAGCTCTTTTGACTCCCTTTTTATCTTTTATATTTTGTCCTACCTCCCTTCGAATACAATGGGCTGCTTTTCTGGGCGCCTGATGTCCTCTGCTAGCGATCAGAAGTTGTTTTGTGAAATCTGCTCAGTGTTCAAATGTTCTTTCGATGAATTTGTAGAGGAGAAAGTGGTCTCCCCGTCCTATTCCTCCGCTATCTTGGCTCCTCCTCTTTTCTAATTCATTTTATTTATTTTTTCTAGTTGACTTGGTGGGAGCATTTGGCCACCTACAAACTGTTCCATCATATTTCTTCTAAGTCTTTTGGCATAATTTTATAAATATATATATACATAAATATATAAAATGTGTGTGTATATATATATATATATATATATATATACTTAAATGAATATAACATTCTTTTTGATATAGCCAAGGGTTTTGAAATGACTCAAGTGTCCCAGGTTTATCTTGTACATTTTCAGCCACAGTCTTAGAACTGGCCATTTTTCCTAGGAGCTCTGGTTCCTTTTTTTGGGGAAATTGTGTAAAGAGACTGCAATTCGAAAGTAAGGATTGTGTTTTGTGCATCGGTGTATCATTTACACCTAGCACTTTGCTTAAATATGATACTCAACAAATACTGGTTAAATACATTTTTCTATTCATGCTTTCACTTGGTTCTACTCAGCGTAAGTACTGCTTCCTTCATGAAATCTTATTTAACTTTTTGTCCGCTCTAAATTCTCTAAAATTCTTCAGCACTTCTACAGACTTAATTCAACTACTGTGCAACTTGGACTTGGAGGCTTGGCCTAGATAGACAATAAAATCCCTTTTAATCCTAAATAACCTATAGATCAACACCAACAATACATTGTCTTATTCTTTTGGTGAGTATTAATTTTTTTTCACCTAATTATCTTGATTATTGTTTGAGGACAAAGCCAGGTTTTACTCTTTCTGGACATATGATACTTCCTAAATAAATATTTGTTGATTGATCTGTTAAGTATATTAATTTGATTTCATCCTGTTACAGTTTGGAAATAGGTAGAACTTTTTGGATTTAAGAATGTGTGAAATATTAGGCTGGGGGGAGCTATTCTGTGTAAAACTCAGGGAAAAAAGGCTTTTAAAATTGAATGAATATAGTATGATATGTGTATATCTATCTCTACAGACTTGAAGCTGAACTGCCTAGGTTCAAAGCCAAGCTTTGTCACTTACTATATATTATAAATGACTTTAGACAAATTTATTAATTTCTCAGTTTCCCTGTTTATTAATGGGTATATTAATAGTACCTATCTTATAGGATTAAGTAAGTTAATATAAAACATTTAGACCAATGAGGCACAAAGTAGTGTTCAATAAATGTTAATGATGAATCATATACATACATTTAATAAAAAATAGAACATTTAAAATTACTTTTTTTAAAGATTAATTTTTAAAACTTATTATATTGTGAATAACTTTTCATGTTCTTAAAAGTTTTTTTTGTAAAAAATCGTTAATGGCTGCACAGAATTTCATTACTAAGAAATACCATAATTTCATTTAGTAATCTAATACTTCTTCATATTTGTTTCCATTTTCAAATAGACTTTTATTTTGACTGACATTTTTTCTTATCCATTAACTGGGGAGAAGAGAATGGCTAATTTTAGAATTTAGAGGTAGCATAGCATCCTGTAGAGATAATACTGGATAGAATTAGTTAGAAGATTGAATTCTAGTTTAGAATTGTACCTTTCTTCTCTAGGATCCTATACAGTGATCAGTTTAGTCACTCATTTGTGTCTGACTTTTTGCAACCCCATGGACTGCAGCACGCCAGGCCTTCCTGTCCATCACAAACTCCTGGAGTTTACTCAAACTCATGCCCATTGAGTCGGTGATGCCATCCAACCATCTCATCCTCTGTCGTCCCCTTCTCCTCCTGCCTTCAATCTTTGCCAGCATCAAGGTCTTTTCCAATGAGTCAGTTCTTCCCATCAGGTAGCCAAAGTATTGGAGTTTCAGCTTCAGCATCAGTCTTTCCAATGAATATTCAGGACTGATTTCCTTTAGGATGGACTGGTTGGATCTCCTTGCAGTCCCAGGGACCCTCAAGAGTCTTTTCCAACACCACAGTTCAAAACCATCAATTCTTCAGCACTCACTTTCTTTATAGTCCAACTCTCACATCCGTACATGACTACTGGAAAAACCATAGCTTTGACTAGATGGACCTTTGTTGGCAAAGTAATGTCTCTACTTTTTAATATGCTCTCTAGGTTGGTGATAGCTTTTCTTCCAAGGAGCAAGTGTCTTTTAATTTCATGGCTGCAGTCACCATCTGCAGTGATTTTGGAGCCCACTGTTTCCATTGTTTCCCCAGCTATTTGCCATGAAGTGATGGGACTGGATGCCATGATCTTAGTTTTCTGAATGTTGAGCTTTAAGCCAACCTTTTCACTCTCCTCTTTCACCTTCATCAAGAGGCTCTTTAGTTCTTCTTCACTTTCTGCCATAAAGGTGGTGTCATCTGCATATCTGAGGTTATTGATATTTCTCCGGGCTCTTGATTCCAGCTTGTGCCTCATCCAGCCCAGCGTTTCTCATGATGTACTCTGCATAGAAGTTAAGTAAGCAGAGTGACAATATACAGCCTTGATGTACACCTTTTCCTATTTGGAACCAGTCTGTTGTTCCATGTCCAGTTCTAACTGTTGCTTCCTGACCTGCATACAGTTTTCTCAAGAGGCAGGTCAGGTGGTCTGGTATTCCATCTCTTTCAGAATTTTCCACAGTTTATTGTGATCCACACAGTCAAAGGCTTTTGCATAGTCAATAAAGCAGAAATAGATGTTTTCCTGGAACTCTCTTGTTTTTTTATCATCCGGTGGATATTGGCAGTTTGATCTCTGGTTCCTAAACAGGTTGGGCTAAATAATTTGGTCCTTTCCAAACCTACTTTCTCATATTATTGTGCAGGAATTGAGCCCATTTTATTAGCCATAAGTCTAAGTATTATTTCCTCTAAAAGACTGACCTGAAATAATCTTTAGCAGTGCTTTCTACCCTGACTACCAAAGACTTCAAGGTATCTACCTCTTCAGCCATTGGGCAGCCAGTCAGAGTCTGAGGCTGCTAGACCCCTGGGCCTGTTACCTCCAGCTGCAAGCAGCCTCATCTGACTCTAGTCCCTTCTAGTGTACCCAGGATCTTCTGCTATACAAATATTATTTTCTAGATGTCATCTCATTCTTTGAAAAGATTTGGAAGTACTGATATGTAATAATGTATCATGGAAAACTTTTGCTTATGGCAGGTATATGTGGTTCAGATCTTTGTTATATTGTTGATAATTCTCTACTTTTTGACTTTTTAGCATGTCTGCTCGCTGTTTCTGGGATGCTGACACTGACAACTGTACTCATGATGTTTTCATGAATGTAAGTCTGTTGGAAACCTTCTTTGCCTATCTTAAGGACACGTGGGCATTCCAGATCAAATCCCTTAATTTTTGTTAATTGTGGGGACACTATGTTTACTTATTTTGGCTTCACAGCATGTGGGATTTTAGTTCCCCAGCCAGGGATTAAACCCATGCCTCCTGCATTGGCAGTGTGGAGTCTTAACCACCTAACTGCCAGAGAAGTTCCTGAGGACACTTTAGTTTTGGACATTTGTCTGAGACGACTTCTAGATAAGACAATTTTACTGTCCATTTGTGTTACTAAAGCAGAAGCCTGTGTGCTGCTTACAGATAAGGACACTTTTATATCTACTGATGATGTAACTCTTCACAAGTTTGAATGTAGAAATCGCATACTACTTATTTGGTGCTAACAGACAGCAGTTTGTTAAGCTGCAAAGAAATTTGGGTGGCAGGGATTCCATGAGCAAAGGTGATTTTTCTTTCAGTAATAAAATTAATTACTTTATCTTAAAGCTATTTAGTAAAGCTAAGCAAAAGTACAGAGGAATTTTTATAAAGAAGTTTCATTTAAACACTGGGACATGATTGACATGAATGTTTCGTATATTTTAAACATATGTTTTATTTTATGTTTATTTCCAGAAAGGATCCTGTCTTCTATCCAAATGCCCTCAGGTTGTGAGTTAGTAGAGTCAGACTTAAAGTATAGTAGAGTAGAAGAGAAGAACTAGGTTGAGTGAATTGGGAGAGAGGTTCCATTTCTAGTGCTGTAACTTTTTTTTTTTGTAACTTTCTAATTGAATGACTTTAGGTAAGTCATTGAGCTTTTCTCTGATTGTATCAGTAATATTAGAAAGCTGTACTAGATATTCCTAAAGACTGGCTGTGGGTGACTAAGAATAATTTGGGGAACTTATTTAAAATATAGGTGCCAGGACTCTGCTCAATAAATTCTGATCAAATAAGCCAGGGGTTGGATCAGGGAATCTGAATCTTTAAAAAAAGTTCTCCACATGATTATCTTACTTTCAGGTATAGAAGCTGCTGGTGCAGATGATCCTAAGGTACCTTTTAGCTCTAAAATTCTATGGTCCTACCAAAGTTTTATTTTATGCTCAACTAACCTGGGAATCACAGGATGGACAGTGGGAAAGGGTTAATTGCTCAGTTGTGTCTGACTCATATGGACTGTAGCCCTCCAGGCTTCTCATCCATGGAATTCTCCAGGCAAGAATACTGGTGTGGGTAGCCATTCCCTTCTACAGGGGCTCTTCCTGACCTGGGGATCGAACCCTGGAACCCAGGTCTCCTGCATTGCAGGTAGATTCTTTACCGTCTGAGCCACCAGCGCAGTGGGAAGTACTATGCAAATCTTCAAATATCCGCTCTCTGGGGGAAGGGTCAAACCCAGGTGGTGGTTTTCCTTGCCCTTTGAAAACTGCATATTTCCCTGAGTCCTTATATGATACAATTCATTCATTCAACAGATAATCCTGAGCTCCTATTATGTGCTCTATATTTTAAGTTTTGATTTTCTTATAATCTGTTATTACATTTAGAAAGTAGAGAAGAAAGTAGGGGATAATTCATAACTCAGTTCCTTTATTGCTAGGAATAAAATGGTGAATAAGACAGTCATGCTTTCAGCTGGTCAAGAGCTTATAAACCCATGGAGACTAGACAATACTCATATTAACCAATATGGAATTTAAAATTTTAGTTATTTATTATTAGTTAGTAAAGATGATCAGGATCTGGATTTAGAATATAGGATTAATGGGGTAAGTGTCTAAAAGTCATTTTTGAGAGCCTGGTCTAGGTTGCTGACTTTAGTCTACTATATCTTTAGTTCAGTTTATTGAGTGTTTATTTAGGCTTCATTTTTCAGTGCTTAAAGTATTTTATTTGGGAGAAAATCCCAGGAATGGCCAATAGGAGTTGAGGAAATGAGAGAGGGGAGAGAAAAGCATATTATTGAACTGATTACTGTGGATAGCCAGGGCTCAATTCCTGTGAAGAACTCTGGGTGGCACTGGGAGAACAGTGCCAATCAAAGGTGGGGTCTATAAGACCAATGCCAGTCTATGAATTGTTTGGTATAGGTCTTTAAAAAGATAAGTACATAAGTTATGTGTAAGAGTTTAGAAAACTCTCATGGAATTTGACAGAGTAATTTCATGTTCATTGAATCTAATTAATAAGAAGTTTAGGTTGTATTTGTATGTTTCTTTTCATTTCATTTTCTTAGTTAATAATTTTTATTGTATTTTATGAAAGTATCATTCATAAGGGATTGGAAATTAAAACAAACCAAAAATAGGTGCTCCTCACCATGGACAGTACTATTTTATTTTATTTTAGTAATACATATTTTATTGAAGTATGGTTGACTTATAATGTTTCAGATGCACAGCAAGGTGATTCAGTTATACATATACACATATACACATATATGATTTTTTAAATTATTTGACATTATAGGTTATTACAAGATATTGACTATAGTTCCCTGTGCTATACAGTAAACCTTTGTTGCTTGTTGCATATCTATTTATTTAAATTAGGAATCTAACATTCTATTCATACTAAGTCAAACAAGCAGAATCAAATATCATAATTTTTTTAGTTAGGCAAAAATTCATGTTTTCTAAAATATATATATTACACATATTATTTGTATGATATGAAAACTTTTCTACTATGCTTGAGAAAGAACATCAAAAGAAAAAAGGAAATGGAGTAATTGGTAAACGTAAACTAAATGAAACGGGAGTGCTGAATATGAAATAGAAAAAGTGAAACAAACTAGATAGAAATAAAGATAATCATATAGTCCAGTTGTTTTTAAACATGACTGCTCATTAGAAACATATTTGGAGCTCTGGAGAAAGAAAAAGCAATACCTGGGTATTTGTATTTTTAAAAAAATTCCAAGATGTTTCTGATATGCATCTGGATTTTAAAAAGTGATTACAGAATATAGAGTGCTATTATTTTCCTGTTGACCAATCAAGATACAATGGTATTAAGTGAATAATAGTTACATAAACACAATAGTAAAAGATGTTTATCAGTTTTTACACTCAGTAGCCAGACAAAAATTAAAAGCCAGCCATAATGGCAACATGATTAACCTAACAATATAAAAATTACATACAATTTGGGGGAGTCAAGCAGAATGATGTGTTAAGTAGAAGTACATCCATGCACATGTTTTCATCTGCCAAGCAAGTCTATGTCTTTTGGTTAGTGCATTTAATCCTATTACCATTTTCTTAACTGTTTCAGGTTTATTTTCTGTAGGTCTTTGCCTTCTCTGTGTTTCCTGCCTAGAGAAGTTCGTTTAGCATTTGTTGTAAAGTTGGTGGTGCTGAATTCTCTTAACTTTTGCTGGAAGGCTTTGGTTTCTCCATCAAATCTGGATGAGAGGCTTGCTGGGTAGAGTCTTCTTGGTTGTAGGTTCTTCTCTTTCATCACTTTAAATATATCGTGCCATTCCCTTCTGGCTTGTAGAGTTTTTGCTGAGAAATCAGCTGATAGCCTGATTGGAGTTCCCTTGTATGTTATTTGTCCTTTTTCCTTTGTTGCTTTTATTATTTTGTCTTTGTCTTTAATTTTTGTCAGTTTGATTACTGTGTGTCTTGGTGTGTTCCTCCTTGGGTTTATCCTGCCTGGGACTCTGTGCTTTCTGGATCTGGTTGACTATTTCCTTTCCCATGTTATGGAAGTTTTCAGCTATTATCTCTTCGAATGTTTCCTCAGGGCCTTTTCTCTCTCTTCTCCTTCTGGGAGCCCTGTAATGTGAATGTTGGTGAGTTTACTGTTGTCCCAGAGGTCTCTTAGACTGTCTTCATTTCTTTTCATTCTTTTTTCTATATTTTGTTCTGTGGCAGTGATTTCCACCATTCTGTCCTCCCAGTCATTTATTTATTCTTCTGCCTCAGTTATTTTGCTGTTGGTTCCTTCTAGTATATTATTCATCTCTGTTTGTTTGTTCTTTAGTTCTTCTAGGTCTTTGGTAAACATTTCTTGCATTTTCTCCATTGTTTTCCTGAGATTCTGGATCATCTTGACTATCATTATTCTGAATTCTTTTTCTGGAATGTTGCTATGTCCACTTCATTTAGTTGTTTTTCTGGGTTTTGATCTTGTCCCTTTATCTAGGACAAAACTTTCTGCTTTTTCATCCTGATTAACTTTATGTATTTCATCCTGATTAACTTTATGTAATGTGGTTTTTGTTTGAACTGCTGTGGGTCTGTGGTTCTTCCTGCTTCTTCTGTCTGCCCTCTGATGGAAGAGGCGAAGAGGTTTGTGTAAGCTCCCTGATGGGAGGGGCTGGCAGTGGGAAAAACTGGGTCTTGCTCTGGTGAGACAGAGCCTTGCTCAGTAAAGCTTTAATCCAATTATCTGCTGACGGGTGAGATTGCCCTCCCTCCCTAGTAGTTGTTTGGCCTGAGGCAACCCAGCCCTGGTCTGTGGGCTCTATGGTAGGGTTAATGGCTCCAAGAGGGTTTATGCCAAGGGGGACTTTCCTGGCCTGCTCCTTTCAGTGCCCCCATCCCTGTGGTGAGCTTCTTCCAACCCATGCCTCCACAGGAGACCCTCCAACACTAGAAGTCTCCTATGGGGTCACTGCTCCTTTCCTTTGGGTCTTGGTGCACACAAGATCTTGTTTGTGCCTTCCAAGACTGGTGTCTCTGTTTCTCCCAGTCCTGTGGAAGTCCTATAATAAGATGCCACTGGCCTTGAGGTCACATTCCCTGGGGATTCCTAATTCCTTTGTCGGATCTGAAAGCTGGTAAGCGTGACTTGGGCTTCAGAACCTTGACAACAATGGGAGAACTTTTTGGGGATTATTGTTCTCCAGTTTGTGAGTCACCTACTTGGTGAGTATGGGATTTGATTTTATAATGATTGTGCCCTTCCTACCATCTAGCTGAGGTAGAAATTGCTAGGCAGTGAGTGTAGGACTCTGAGACCTCAGTCTTGTTTTCATAAACATCTGGCTCCATTAGCGTAAATTTATACCCTTTCTCCCAGTTCCTGGAATGTGTGCTTGGTGTGCTAAATTATCAGCACTCAGACCCAGGGATGGGAGTAACTAACTTCTGTTCCATAAGCCTGAGGGAAAAACAACTGAGGATCATTAACCTTAAGCCCACACATCAGAGTCAGTTCAGTGGCTCAGTTGCTCAGTCCTGACTGACTCTTTGCGACCCCATGAATCGCAGCATGCCAGGCCCCCCTGTCCATCACCAACTCCCAGAGTTTACTCAAATTCATGTCCATCGAGTCAGTGACATGCCATTCAACCATCTCATCCTCTGTCGTCCCCTTCTCCTCCCGCCTTCAATCTTTGCCAGCATCAAGGTCTTTTCCAGTGAGTCAGTTCTTTGCATCACGTAGCCAAAGTATTGGAGTTTCAGGTTCAGCCTCAGTCCTTCCAATGAATATTCAGGACTGATTTCCTTTAGGATGGACTGGTTGGATCTCCTTGCAGTCCAAGAGACTCTCGAGAATCTTCTCCAACACCTCAGTTTAAAAGCATCAATTCTTTGGCATTCAGCTTTCTTTATAGTCCAACTCTCACATCCATACATGACCACTGGAAGAACCATAGCTTTGACTAGATGGACCTTTGCTGGCAAAGTAATGTCTCTACTTTTTAATATGCTGTCTAGGATAGTCATAGTTTTTCTTCCAAGGAGCAAGCGTCTTTTAATTTCATGGCTGCAGTCATCATCTGCAGTGATTTTGGAGCCACTCAAAATAAAGTCTCACACTGTTTCTATTGTTTCCCCATCTATTTGCCATGAAGTGATGCCATGATCTTAGTTTTCTGAATGTTGAGTTTTAAGCCAACTTTTTTTACTTTTCTCTTTCACTTTCATCAAGAGGCTCTTTAGTTCTTCTTCACTTTCTGCCATAAGGGTGGTGTCATCTGCATATCTGTGGTTAGTGGTATTTCTCCCAGCAGTCTTGATTCCAGCTTGTGCTTCATTCAGCCCAGTGTTTCCCATGATGTAATTTGCATAGAAGTTAAATAAGCAGGGTGACAATATACTGCTTTGAAGTACTCCTTTCCCAATTTGGAACCAGTCTGTTGTTCTATGTCCAGTTCTAACTGTTGCTTCTTGACCTGCATACAGATTTCTCAGGAGGCAGGTCACATCTGGTATTCCCATTTCTTTAAGAATTTTCCACAGTTTGCTGTGATCCACACAGTCAAAGGCTTTGGTGTAATCAATAAAGCAGAAATAGATGTTTTTCTGGAATTCTCTTGTTTTTCCTACAATCCAACAGATGTTGGCAATTTGATATCTGGTTCCTCTGCCTTTTCTAAATCTAGCTTGAACATCTGGAGGTTCATGGTTCATGAACTATTGAAGTCTGGCTTGGAGAATTTTGAGCATTACTTTGCTAGCGTGTGAGATGAGTGCAATTGTGTGGTAGTTTGAACATTCTTTGGCATTGCTCTTCTCTGGGATGGGAATGAAAACTGACCTTGTCCAGTCCTGTGGCCACTGCTGAGTTTTCCAAACTTGCTGGCATATTGAGTGCAGCACTTTAACAGCATCATCTTTTAGGATTTGAAATAACTCAACTGGAATTCCATCACCTCCACTAGCTTTGTTTGTTGTGAAACACAACTGATGATTATTAATCTTAAATCCATACATCTGATCCATTGTAAAATGACCAGGGGGCATGAAAAATGATGGCAAATTAATCCAAGGATCAAGAGAAGCCATAAAGATGTTAAGTTAAGCATCTTGACCTTTAAGGACAGGAGCCAGCCAAAAATGTACAGATTAAAGATATAAATACTGCTGTAATTCCCACCTTTGGGTGACTCTCTACCCCCTCTCAGTGTCTATGCTAAGAGCTTTGTACTTTCCTTCTCTTTAATAAATCCTGTTTGCTTGCTACCCTTAATGTTTGCATGTTCATGAAGTTCATTCTTCAGCTCCAGAAACAACTCGGATTCCCATTTCATCTCTACAGCTTCTTCTTTGTTTTTGATGTGGGGTCCCTTTTTTTTCGGTGGGTTCCAGTGTCCTCCTGTCTATGGTTGTTCAGCAGTTAGGTGCCAGATAGCATTATTTTAGAACACAATAATCCCACCCAAGGAGCCAGGAAACTGGGCTAACTGAAGAATTTGCTTTTAGTTAATAATCACGTACTTGAACTCATATTTTCTTGCATCATTGCCAGGCTGGAGGTGAGATTGATGGGTTAGGAGGTACTGAGGCATGTTGAACACCTCTAATAAGTACCTAAAACGTGTTTTAACAAATTTATTAGGATATGAAGCACATTTTGAGATTCTGAGCTAAAATGTGGACAAATATATTTTATCAATTAAGAACAAACAACCAGACATCATTTGTCCTTATCCAGAATTTATGACAAGGTGCTGTATTTTCATTATCTGTGATACTATAATATGCTTGGCTTTGCTAGTGTATATACTTTAAGACACTAAAAAAAAAAAAAAAGAAACTCAAAGCATTTTAATTATATTATTTCTTTGATAAATCAGGAAAAATGGGAATACTTATTTTAAGAATAAATATTATGTAAAGTACATTAGCTTGCATTATGTTTCTTCATTCAGAAAATCTATTAGCCATCCTACCCTTTTAGTTAGCAACTTTGTAGCTATCCTGAGGCAAGAAAATCTATAGCTATACTCTGGAAAATCTGTTTCTTGAAGAAAGGAGTCTTCATGACTGAAAACTGGTAAAGATCTGAGATGATGTTAATTTCACATCTGTGCTGTCCTTTGGTACTAACTGAAATACTAACAGTGGATTCGTGTTTGGTTTCTGTTTTTTTTTTTTAGGACAGTTTATTCTGTGTTGTAGCGGCATTTGGCTGTTTCTACTATTGAATCTTTGAAAGCTGGAAAAAGATACGACTATGAAGAAATATGGACTTTTTTACATTGTTAAATATATTGACAAAATAAAGTGGACAGTTTGGCAACTGAGTCTGTTGAGTTTTAGGTCTTATTTTAATGTTTCAATTTCATTATAACATGTTACTACATTTAGAAGGTATAGGAAAAAGTAGGGACAATCCATAATGCAGTTGTTCAAACATAACCAGTGTTTTTTTACTTACAGGGTTAAAAACATCATATATACAGTTTTGTAACCTGGTTTTTCACTTACGTTGTGTACAATTTTTATATCATTTTCTTTGATTATAATTTTCATTAGCATACATTAATAGTTGCGATTCCATTAGGCTATACACCATTGGTTATTTTTGCCATGTCCTTATTGTGGGATTGATTATTTATAATTTTTCACTATAACTAACTCTGAGATCAGCTTACTTGTGCATAAAGTTTTTTTCCTGCATTTAAAATTATTGCCTTTATCTTTCACCTAGTATTTTTACTCCTCTTTCCACTCTACACTTTCCACAGCTTGTTAGTTTAAACCTGTATTTGTTTTATCCAGTGTTTGCCCAGTGTTACGATTGAAGAGTTTCTAGGCTGTATATGAAATTAGCTTCCCTTAAGACTCTCAGAGGTTATGATGGTACTATCCCAACTTCCACTGTCTTTGTAGTAATCTTCCCCTTACATGTCTTCTCCAGCTAACTATCCTTATTTCAAGCACCTTAGTCTATCTGCCCTGTTCAAATAACTATTTGAAACTCAAAAGGGAAGGGTCACAATATAAATCCTTTATTTTCCCCTGGTAGCTCCTCAGCAGCTGCTTACCCACCATATTTCTTCTCAGCTGCTTTCAAGATAAGCATGTAAACAAAAATAAGTAGATACATGGAAAAGTTCTTTTACATACTTATTCTGTAACATTGGCTATTTACTTGCCTTGTTGAAAGTTAAAGTGTTAGTCACTCAGTCCTGTCCACTGTGTGACCCCATGGAGTGTAGCCAACCAGGCTCCTCTGTCCATGGAATTGCCCAGGCAAGAATACTGGAGTGGGTTGCCATTCCCTTCTCCAGGGGATCTTCCCCACCTAGTGATGAAATCTGGGTCTCTTGCATTGCAGGCAAATTCTTTATTGTCTCAGCCACCAGGGAAGCCCATCTACAAGGGACTCCTCCAAAGGGGTTTGCTAGTTTCTTTCTAGCAAAGGAAAACATTTCTTTTCACCAGTAACCCTGCTGTGTGATTTCCTACCAGTGGCCACCAATTCAAGAATTGTTCCTGTTCAGATGGCCCCCAGTTGATACCTAGGGATCATCTCTTGGTGAGCCAATCTGGGTTAGAAACAACCGGAACACAGAGGGCTTTTCACAGGACTTTGTTGGCGGACGTGCATCTCTTCACGTCACCCAGTAGGGAAAGGTTGGCGCTGTGTGAAGCAGTTGCAGACCATGGTGTGGAGGTAGGGGGTGTCAAGGTTGGAAGGTGTCGCGGCCATCTGCATTGTGAATGTGCTGGTATACGAGTGCCTGGCACCGCGTCAGGCGCTGGGATAGAGCAGGAAGGACTAAAACGGACAGGTCCGCCTGGGAGGGACTGAACCCGGAGGTGGGCAAAAGGCGAGCCACCACGTTAACGCTTCTTGACGGGCCGCCAGCAAGCAAGAGTGACAAGCCACAGACCTGTCTTATTACAAGGTACATCCCATTTCTTCACCGCATAGTCCAATTCCGCAAGGTAAGTGACCCTTTGCCATTTTATGTTGGCTCTTGGTGAGTTCTGCTCATGGAAGCGGAACCACTGTGTAAGAGGTGGTTTTCGAAGAAAAGTCGTGGTCGGAGTGATAAGAGGGCGGGTAATAGGCGGGATTTCCGGTCCGCGCTTCCGTCAGCTGCCTTTCCCGGGCGTCGCCCCGCAACCTCCTCAATTTCCCTTGTCAGTGACGCGGCGCTCTGGAGAAATTCGACGGGACAGTGACCAGGGGCCAGGGAAACGTGAGCTGCAGGTAAGGACCGGGTGTGTGTATATCCTTGCGGCTCTGTTTGAGAGGAGAAACTGTGGTGCTGGGACCGCCAGGAGGAGCGACTGAAAGAAGAGTGGGTCAGTGACAGCGAGGGGAGTGTGAGGCTACGACTGAGAGGCTACTGTGACCCAGGGGCATTGACAATGAGGGGACTGTGGCTGAGACGTAGCTGCTTGCGAGGGGTCTGTGACCCAGCAGCAGTGAATACTAAGGGGCTCTGACCTCGGAGAACACGAGGCAGAGGCTGTGTGAGGACTGTGACCGAAGAAGTATGAAGCAGTGACAGCGGGGAACTGTGACCAAGGGCCAACGACTCGGAGGAGACTGATCGATGGATAGTAACTGTGAGAGGACTCTGACCTAAGGGAACATGAAGCAACAGCTGCGAGGGGACTCTAACCAAGGAGCAGTAACTTTGAGGGGGCTGAGTTGGAGAAGACTGTGGGATCAGTGACTGGACAGGGTACTGTAGCGTTTTGTTTGAGTAGGGGGTGTGGTGACTGGGTGGAGAAGGTTAGACAGACCTGAGTTTAATCTGATAGACTTCTTGTGGCTGGGAAGCTTACCTCACCATTGAGCTACAGTTTCTTCCATCGTGAGTGGGAAGTTTGGATTAGATGAATGTTTCTTAAATTGTGGGTTCTGTCCTGTTATTGGGTTGTGCAGTCCATTTAGTGGAGGGAACCTGAAATTTACAAAAAAAAAAGAAATAGACCTGAAATTTTCACATAATAATAGTATTATTTCATGAAACTTGTTTCAGTTATGTATGTGTGAGGTTATGATGCAAAATGAATTTCATGTGTCTTAAAATGTAGTAAAAAAGTTGGGAAAGCATTGGACCAGATTATTTCTGAGTTTTTCTTCTGGCCTAAAATGTCATGATTCTACAGTGAGGGGACTATTTGGAAATACCAAGATGCAATTAGGAAGATCTGGGGCTGGGGCACATCCTCCACCAGATTGACTTAACTGAAGAAGGCTTCCCAAATAAAATTGGAGTAGTTTTACCTGAGACTGAAACTCAGGTCCTCAGTTGGGAGAACCAGTACTTATATATTGAAATAGGGACAGTGATATTTAGAAAGGCAGTGAGGATATAGGGTTTTATGATGGGAAAAACTGTTAGGAATAGACAGTGAGTAAGGGGGAAGCTTTGAAGAGGGTAGAAACAAGGCTTAGAAAGGGAACTGACTGGCCTACTGGGAATGATACCATGCTGTGGATAATTCAACTGATGTTTTAGCGTGGGTTTATTTCCTACTAATGCCCTGTCATGAGGTCTGTTAGTGATGCAGATGAAATTGAAGTGAGTTTCACTACTTCCTCCTCTTTTACAGCCCTTTGTAGAAGGTGCTACTTATTGATTGTGTCACTTAGTGTTTTAAAAAAATATATCTAATAGAAGAAGCTTGAGACAGTTTTAACTTACCAGACACTGTATTTATCTGATAACCTGATAGTCACTCCCACCCTTTATACACATATACACTGTCATAGTGGAAGAGATTTCAGAACAATACTTAAAATGGGAAGCAGTTGAGAATGGTGAGGGATAGCCTTTTTTTTTGGCGGCACCAGTTTTAGTTGCAGCACAAGGGATCTTCAATCTTCCTTGTAGTATGTAGGATCTTTAGTTTTGGCTTTTGTAATCTAATGCCCTGATCCAGCCCCCTGCATTGGGAGTATGGAGTCTTAGCCACCAGACCACCAGGGAAGTCCCAGGGAGAGCCTTTGTTTAGCTAAAATTGTCTGTTTCTAGAATATTATCTTTACTAGGCTTACATTCTATATAACTAAAAGGAACTACTCAAGCATTTGTTCCTAGAACAGAATATACTACTTAAAGGTTACTCATCACCAAAGGGAAGATGTTCAGGCTTGGGGACTGCAGCACTGCCTCTGGGGTTATTTGTGTTTGCTGAATGAAATGATTCTTTTTGATTTGACCTGCTTTGTAAATTCCTTTTGGAAACCAATATAATGGCCTAATTGATTAAGAAAGAACATTATTCCTTCCTCAGCCTATGATGTCTTCTCTCATAAACAGGTGAGGTTTTATTTTTCTTGGGGATCTCCTTTTTGGATATGCAATTCCTTAAGGAGAATGTAGTCAGAGCCTTGGATTCCTGGTGACTTTATCTGATGTTAACACTGACTATGGGAAGAATTATTGCTTTCTTTTGCTTTAGATTTCCTTACTGTTGCAGAGAAAGCTGTTCTTCTGGTTAAACAGTCCTTTAATAATCTGAAAAATATACATACTAGCCACATTTAGTATACAATCTCATGGAGTTTGTTAACCATCTGCCCTCATTCATGATTTTCCTGTGGAGCTATCTAATCTGTAGGTTAGACGTGATTCCCCTTGGGAGCTGAATAGCCTCTTTGTGTTATAAACTCTGATTAATTTATGAAATATTCATAGAAAAAGCAAGCATAGTAATGATGGATAAGGACAAAATATCTAATAATAATTGTAATTTTCTTATGTTTTTCTTTCACAGTACTTGCATAACTCTCATCTGAAGCCAGATCTTCTGACTTTCCTAATAGAGATAATTCCTCCTACTGAATCAAACAGAAGTTCTTACACTAACATTTATGTTCTCCTGAAATAGATTAGAAAGAATAAGTTTTTCTAAAATTCATGATTTAGGGCGAGTTTTTTCAGTTAGAGAAATCCTAAAGTCAGGCTACTTCCCAATCATCACTGGACTTTGAGAGCTCCTTTTTATTCAAGATTGTGGCTGATTCTACATCTTTTACTTATGTCTACATAAGTCACATTAGAAAATAATAGGAAGAAGAGAGTGAGAACAGGTGCTCAACTTTCTTGCTTATCTGCCTAGAGAGTAACTTCTAGCATTTTCTCTTTCCTAAGCTAAAACCTTTCTGTTTCTAGTCCTAAACTTTTCTTTTCACAATATTCCTGTCAAATAGGTACCTGCACACATGTATGAC